GTACATGTATAAAGACACGAATTGGGTGTTAACCTTCTTTATATACAACCAAACATATGAAAAATTGTGCTGTATACGTGTAAGAAGGATTGTAATGCAAAAAGAAACAAGTACATGTATAAAGACATGAATTGGCGTGAACATACTTTACACAAAGATATGAAAAACTTAGCTCTGTATGTGTAATAAGAATTGTAATACATTCCACTGTCGTGTACTTATAAAAATAAAATCAATTTTAAAAAAGAAATGCTAATTACAATGATTTGACCATTACACATTACATACATGGATCCAAATATCACATCACAACAAATGCATAGATAAAATTGTTGTGTCAGTTAAAAATAAAAAATACTTATTAATAGTTAAAAATGCTTAAACAAAGCTGAAAAAGTCTATATTCATAAACTCCAACACTTGTGAAAGTTTATATTTTTAGGTATTATTTCATATTTTTATGCCTGTATCAGTTTATGTTCTAGATTTTCTTTTGTTCTTTAAATGTTTAGCCATTTACTAATTCACTCACCATGAATGCACATTCATTGCCTGTGTTGTCCTGTTCTATGCCATCTGCTACATGCTGGTGATACTAAGTCATGACACAGTAACTGTCTTCAAGGAGCAATGAACTAGTGAAGACTTTCAGGTCAGCAGGTGGTTAAAAGGTGTGGAAAAGCAGGGCATGGTGGTGCACACCTGTAACTCCAGCTTCTTGGGAGGTTGAGGCAGGAGGATCATGGGCAGCTTAATGAAACCTCTCTCAAAATAAAATGTAGCTCAGTGGTTCAATCTCCAGTAACACAAATTAGTTACCTAATTAAGTAGTTTAAAAAATAAAGTGTTGAGAAAATTATAACCAAGACCATATAAGTCAGAATATATGTCCAAGATCCCTTCTTAATAAGCAATATACCTCCTACTTCTACTATAAATCTTCCTGATAATGCATTAGAATTTTTTTTGTAGTTTAGAGAATGTACATACCAGTTTTATATTACTTTATTCAAACTTAACAAGTGCTTTCCTTAATTTTCTAGTAGTAGGTGTAAAAATCATGTGCTGCAGCTTTACAGTTGTAAAATATTTTGGATACTCTGGGAACTATGCATCTTCTTAACATCACTGTCTTGTCAGGTTACCAGCACTGACAGGTGACTGATACTGACCCTGTTTAGCTCATGCTCACGACACACACACACTTCCTGTCGTGGCTTTGCCTGATGATGTTCCTTTGGGTCTGTGAGGTTCTGTAAACGGTGTTAGTGCTAACAATGTTCTGTATGACTTAACTCACTGGCAAGATCACATTGTTGGACCTCTCAACCACTAGAACAAAATCTTTCAAACTGATAGTTGCAGAATTATAGTGTTTTCACACTGATCTTTTGCTAATGCAATTAGCATTGTGTTTTGCATCCGTAACTTAATAAATTCTTGAATCATAAAGAAAAGAATAATATGTTCTGAGGATGTGATGGCCCTTCTACATCTGAAAGCAGAGGTCCATCTGGGGATAGTAGGGGTTGTTAGTGGAGGGCTGAGAGTATAAGCCTGTGGATTTCTGCAGATACTATCTGCCTGTGTCATCAAATCACTGCTGACATTTCTAGCTTTTAAGACTCACCATTCTGTGGGAAGCCACCTGTGAAACTACTTGAGGGGCCTTTACTAGGCACAAGCCAAGGTTCTTCCTCGGGAACAATCCTAGCTTTCCAGTGTGCATGAAACTGCCCAAGGTATGAGATCTCTGCACTGCCCCTTCCCCCACCACCACCACATGACTCTAGTAGCAGGATAGCTCTCAGAGCTCCTGAGTTGGGCATAACCCGCTGGGAACTGGACAGCCCATCCGATAGGATACCTTATTTGGCAAAGAACATTCCACAGAAAACCTTTGATGTTCCCCCATATAAATAAAGCAAGCGCGGGCTTCAGCTCTCTCTCTTTCCACTGTGGAAGCACAATCCCAAAGATCAAAGAGCCTCCTACCCTTGCTTTTCAGAATTATTTCCTGTGCACTGTGGGTTTTTTTTTTTCATTGTTTTCTCTTTATTAGCTTTTATTCAGCAGCCAGCCAATGCTATCACCTGCACGAGACGTGGGTGGAACCGTTACTTTGAGCTCTCTTTATAAATGTCTTTATTCATTCACTCCTTCATTCATGAACATTTACTAAAGACTCATTCAGTGCCTGGTACCATGTTAAATGTGCCTTCTGTTTTAAAGCCATTTATGTGATTTTCATACTTTCTCCCACAATTTTCAGGAATTTTGAAGTCTGCTTTCTCAAAGTCAAAAGGTGTCTGCCTCTTCCTTTTGCTTCTTCTTTTGTGATAAACAAGCTTACACTTTTAGAGTCCTTTTTTTCCTTCAAATTGCTCAAGTGAACATTATTTACTGAATTACTTCTATGGGCTGGGCAGCATGTAAGATGCCCTGGGGAATATGAAAATGACTAAGATTTGACCAACCCTTT